AAATATTTGCTAAAATTGACTGGGAATACTTAGAGTTTTCATCGTAGAATGGCGTGGTTACATTTATTTGCTCTTTGACTAAAATGTTTAGCTGTATTATTGCTAAACGTGCCGTTTTTGAGAATTTGGTTTTCAACTAGGATGAGGCACCCAGCCACGCCATCAATCCCAGTAAAAACATTAGGTCACGTCAGCTAGTTTCCTATCCATTTATTTTATTATCCATGTATTGATGTAGCAAGTTTCATGTCCATCCGAAATATATTGAAAAAGTTTATATTAGATGGCCGATTTGTCAGAACAGCTGACCCGGCGTGAGTTCAAGAAATATTCAAGTTTTTTCTCGATACGAAATACAGAATGTTTGGCCAAGCGGTGAGTAAAATTTACGATTGTTTGCTTTGTGTATTAAATGTTAAAAAATATTACTTTTGACCATCCACAAACATGCAAGCACTAGTCAATGAGGTCAATCAATCATGCATTAAATAATGATTTAATTTTCAAAAAGACGTTTCTTGTTTAGCTTAAAAATCACCTTTTGTTTCGATGTTTATACTTTGTCCCACTTTGCGATGCAAATCGTGCAGAGGCTTCGCGCCTTCCTTCGCCTTTCCCTTTGCCGCCTGCGTTCCTTCCGCCAGCGGCAACGCTCGTGTTCCAAGATCCGCCATGTAAAGCGTAGTGAAATGTATCTCATCGTAATATTAAATCCTAAAGAAAACTAAAGCCTCTGCAGAGGAGAGAGCTTTAGGGCCGCGTGTAACTCACGCAACAGATTGCGCGCATGCTCAAATGGTAATCTTGTCGAGCTGAAATTTTATCACGTCAACAAAATTTTATTTGTCCGCGCAAGTTTTGTAATTATAGGTTAGTTTTTACAACAAAGTATTAGTCTATTTAACTCTATTATATAAGAATACCGAATTACTGCCACTACAGTATACAGGAACAAACGAAATATTATTAATACAGAATAGGCAGTATTTCTACAAAAGATGTTCTGTATACCGTATTCTTTAATTTTGCGATATAGAGTATTGCGTAATATAATTTTCGTTTTATTGCAAAATCCATATTTTAACCGCTTATGCATGGTGATATACAAATTAGTAACTAGGAAATAGAATAATTATGTTCGTGCTTTCTGGCCTTGTGGCGACGCTTGAATCCAACTCCATCCAAAGTCGAAATTCACGACAAGCAATATGTATGTAATTGGGTCGGTCCTAAAACAGTCTGAAATTAACTGACTCCAACGTCGATCTTCACATGAATTTGAATTTAGGTATTATTACATAAGTATACGTCAGGCAGCTAACGGAAAAGTTCAAAATCGTAATTAAAGTTAAGCAAGTTCTGTACAAGTTTTCGACAGCTAACACTAATTAGTAGTTAATTCGTGTGCTTAAAGGACATCGGCAACGGATTTTTTTATTGGCTATTTTTGTTCACGTTGGTTATCTTAATAAGGATATGTATTTTATTTGGAAGTAAAAAGCGAATGAAGTTGGTCTAATTATGCATGGTGTCCGCCATCTTGAAGAAATTCCCGATATGCTAATTTATGCTGAAATGCCTTACTGACGTCATTGGCAGGGGAACGGATTATACAATGTATACTATACGGCACTTGTAAATAGCTATAGTTTACATGCTGTTTTTTTCTACGTTATTTGAGGAAATTTCATAAAAATGACATAGCAACCTAGTTTATTTTTATAAATTTCCATAGTAAGCGTTCTTTCGCCTTGCGAAGATATGGGACGAGTATTTACGTCTTAGTGTAGGCGAGCCAAACATCTTGCGTCAATGCAATATACAGTTGACATAAGTTTATTTTTGTTTAAAATCACTGTGGAAACCAATTCATTTTTTGTCCATTTTTTTCTGGGCGAGGGTAGGTAAGAAATGATGCTTTAGTTTTCTAAAAAACATAATTATAAAACGCAAAACATAAACGGACTATGTTATAATCTATATTTTTCCACAGACTATTGCATTCATGTAATACGTATTAAACCATGAAGGTCAAAGTTAAGCAATGTATATTGTCCTGTGTACGGCTGCAATATAGTGATAGTCAACTGAAGACAAATAGAAATGTTAATTTCTTTCGTTTTCCTTGCGGCAAAATGCCTGAGCAGAAGAGCCGTAGAGCGGCCTAGGAAGAATTTTGCGAACGAAAAGCATTCAAACCCTCACTTTGTACAAGAATTTGCTCGCTTCATTTTGCCGAGGAGTCATATGAACCCTCGCATTCTCCTCAATTCCTCGAAAGCATTGGATACACAGAGAAAACGAGTTTGCGCGTAAAGTCCAATGTTTACCAACGCTTCACAAGCCTACGTACGACCAGCGCTAGCCGTTTCTAACGTATCTGCATCGTCACAATCGAAGAGAACAAGGAGACAAACCGAGAGGAGACAACGTCAAAAGATACCAGTACTTGAAAGATACATTTACCAATAGCTTTAATAAATTCTGTTTCTTCAATGTCCTTATTTTTCTTCATTGTTTCACAATTTAGAATCTTGAATAGTGGTTATTAAAGTCACTTTCATCAACAGAGAATGAAAATTTGCCGGTTGCGACTTGCGAGTAATCTAAGCGATATAAAAGCAGACGTTCGCATAGACTCAGAGGCAGTTTGCGAGGAAGGAATAATAGACAGTTCAGCTAGATCTCTGAAGACATTTAGTTGATTTACGCTCCACAGTTAGAATCAAAATACATAATAATACTCAGAAGTCAGACCTCGCTGAAACACACAAGTAAATCACACACATTCAAAACACAGACATTCATAACAACAGAATCACCGTGGTTTAGACAGTTATTTGATACTGCAAACTTAAGTGTAGAAGCGGAAGCAACGACGCAGAATAAATCACTGGAACAAATCGCCAGAACTGAATAGGACTGTAAATGCAGCTCTAACAACTTTAGAGGCCGAACATACGTTAATCATCGAAGAACTACCTTCTGCACTACAAACGACATCATTAGAAAATTTTGACCAAACGAAGTAAAACTATAAATACCATAACTAACCAACAGCTAACTAGAACCAGCATTGACCGCTTCCTTCAGCATTTGTGACTAAAGGGTCGTACTCATCGTACTCTAAAGCCTTATCGTGCGAGCAAAACCTGTTGTCTTTGTTTGCAAGGGACAGTGGCCACAATTGCACCAACTGCGCGATTTAAGACGCCAGATATTCTCAGCCTCGAATGCTTCATCGAAGTCTCAAGTCGTCGTCTGAGCCTTTGAGGACGACTCGCACTCGGATTACTCGGAATCGCTTCTGCCCCACTGCTACCAGTATTTTTGTTTAAAACAGGTTCAAACTGATAAGGCAACACTTCACCTAACTGATTCTCTGATCAAAAGCTATAGTAGCGACAGCGTATTGTTTTGCTTCTCCCCTGCCAATGACGTCAGAGGCCTCAAATGACATGAAAGATAATTTTCCAAAATGTGCTTTCAAAATGGCGGGCGATATGCATAATTAGACCAAATTCATTCGCTCTTTACTACAAATTGAGATATTTTCATCGCAAATAAAATACATATCTTGACTAAGACAATTATAGAGAACAAAACAAGGCAATAAAAAAATCATTTGCCGATGTCCTTTAACAAATTGCCCTTACTTCAAACAGCCAACAGTTGACCTCAAAATACGATCGCTGTTTACTCGAACGAAGTTATCAGAGTTCTCTGCTCGTGACTCTGACTAAACTGACTATCGCTGCGGAAGAACTTATTACTACCTTGGGTTACCAACATCATATCTGTCCGGCGGCAAAATGCCGGGCAGATTGCCCGGCAGCTTGTCAATACGTATTTTACATGCAATTGACTGGTTGAGCGAGATCTTATATTATATAGTTATAACTAAATATAAACATACATATATAGTTATAGTGATGGTACTGTGGTCCGTACAGAGCTCGAGAATGGGCATTTCTCTATCATTGAGGTACCTTTCAACACTTTAAACGATATTATCGACGTGATAACTACAACCAACTTACATTGCCATCTTGCATCAGAGTCTAGACTTCCAAGCGACCTATTGCACTTCTCACTGACCCCATGAAACGCCATGGCTGATAACGTTTCCTTTCTTGAGCTATACAACGAAGCATTATCCACAAATCCTTCGAATGTATTGACAACTTGACTTTGTAATGCTATGAAGACAACGACATACCACATTGTTCGGTGTAAACAGTTCCTCGAGAACAGAATTATCATGTAACTGTTTAATATTCGAGTATGCATTGACATGCTTAATTAATTTAAATTCAGACAATTATAAGATACACTGTACCCGATCATGCATACAAAATTAGCCTTTAGATAGTTTTAGATTTTACGGTTTACGGTCTACGGCAAATCGCAAGCTGGAAAATTCAATTGGTATTTAACCTATTTCGCTGTCGAAAACTCGTAGAACGCTGCCGTTTTCAGTTAGCAGTCGGTCGTAAACGTGAATCCGTCACTGCGTAAAATTAGCGAGCTTAAGCATGTAGGACGGCAACGCGACGACGACGGCCAAAACAAATTCCTTTAAATAAATGATAGTAAAGAAAACTTGTCGTATATTATAATTCGTATGAATTTAATACGTACAGTATAAGAGGTTGAAAACATTGGCTTTATGTTCGAGAAGAGTTCTATTGAACAAAATTTTAAGTTGCACTTGCAATGGCTTGAAATGCAGGCGTTGTATAAAAGACGTGGAAATCTGTGATTTGCCGTTGTAAACAGGGCGATGACTACGTTCGAAATTCCCCTGAGACTTTAATTATTTATTTATTTTATTGACTCATTGTATTGGTTGCCGTCGCCATCGTGTTGCCGTCCTAGATGCTTAAGCTCCGTAATGACATTGTGAAGCTAGACATGTTCAATATCAGTGCTAAGTAATTTACAACCACAAAAACCTTTCAATTGCCCATAGCTTGTCGAAGGGAAGACGTTGTGAAACTCGTTAGAATAACAATATAACTCGAATTATCTATGTACAGGGTTACCCCCTAAAAAGAAAACTATTGAAATCACCAATAACAATTTAATTGTTAGAATTTGAATGCCTTAGCACTCTGTTGGTTCCCATGAGTGCATAAATGATTGACGTAAGTAAATTTTATGCATAAAGAAACTATTTAGGAAGCTGCTTTGAATTTCCAAGAGCAGAAAATCGCGCACTTTACACGGAGATGTTTTTAAATAAATTTTAATACATGCACCTTGTCAATATTTTACTCATCATTATACGTTCAGCTTTTTGGTAGGGCATTCAATTATAACAATACATGAGTTCAATAGTTTTCGGGTTTTTTGGGATACCGTGTATAGTTAACGTTTATTCATAAATCTGGTCCCTTCACCATCACGTGTGTATTGTATTTCTACCAAATCCACCAATAGCAATTTCCAGTTTCCCTATTGTTCGAGTCACGGACAGGTGACTTTCCTAAAAATTGCCGTTGGTTAGTTGGGTAAAAATGCAATATGACCAGATTTATGAATAAACGTTGACCAACATAGATAATGAGTTATATTATTACACTAATGAGTTTCACAGCCATCTCCACTCCGATAGGCTATCATTTGCCCAAATGTCGGTCTGCCCAAATGTTTTAATCACTCAATGGAATTTCGATGCAAAATTGCGAGTGTGCCTTCTTGATTCAAGCAATTTGAATCCGAAATGAGAAAATTTCAATACTCGGACAATAGGTTTACATCGCTAATCACAACGGTGGAAAAATGGCGCGATTCGTGCAATCTGATTGGCTTAAAATAGTGCGATTACAGTCCGACTGAATCATACTATTTTGATCTTTGCTCCCATCAACATGAGTTTTGCTCGCATCATTGGTGTGGTGATCTCAACCTTCTACCATGCAAGTGCTTCTGCGTTTATTGCACTCAGAAGCCCTGGGATAATCCAAACCGGACACCAAAGGACATTGGTTCTCGGAAACGGAAGTAAACAGTAGCTCCATGCAGCTAAAAACGCTGATTGGGCATATTTTTCGCAAGGAGTGAGACGGCATTATTCGTTGCAATTTATTATAAATTTGTAAAGACGTCTGTAAAGACGTCTTAAACTGCTTGGCCTGTGGCATGTGGAATTGAAATAAAGAATGATTAATTTAGAGTTACAATTATGCGTAAAATAAGCCCTTTGGCGGGCAAAACAACATCTTATAGCGCGACAAAAGCAGCAATACCTGTTCAGCGATATACAGGGGCTATTCAATAAAGTATAAATATTTATGCTCGAGTAAAACCTAGGCCGTTACAAAGTCAACAGACTAGAAATCTTACTGGTAACATGGCTGGCTGCCGTTTATCTGGGATTAATGACGGTTTTGAACAAGATATTGCAGGATATTAAAATTTTCTGCTCTCTGATACTGGTGGCCAGATTTTCATCAATACACAAGATTTACTATAAATTAACCTAAGACTGCATCTACTTGAAGAATGTAAAATGAACAGTGATGTGATTTAATTCTATACTTATCCGGAAAATCTTATTGGAGAATCTTGAGAATAACGGCGTTGGGAATGTTGAAAATTAAAAACTGTCAGATAGCTGGTTTGAAGTATGCATACAGTATATGACATGTATATGCTGAAACCCCAACTTTTGTTAATTGCCAACTGAAGTACATGTTATAATTAATGACAACTATATTCTAGTATTGAAATGAACAGTATTATAAAATTAAACTAGTTGTGCTGAACTAATTTGAGTTTATTTATTTAAAATATTGTTTCATATATCATTCAGTTACGGCCGTTAACCTATTAAGTTACATTTTGCCCTACTTTATTATTTTACTCTGACAGTCTAACACCAGATGATTTTATATGTTGGGAGATAATGCTCGCGAGTTTGTTAACCTAATCTGTCTAATCAGGCTAACCCCATGCGGGTTTTTTAATCAAGGGAGACTGAAAATACAAGGAGAGGCCTGCGATAGTTTGAATAAAGTTTGTTTCGTCAACTTTTTGGGGCTATCTTAATGTGTTTAGAAATAACCAGTTAACACATAACGACTCTACTTAATTACAAACAAGTCATGAACATTTAAAATCAATAGGAAGCTAGATATAAAATTTCCATTACAAGAAATGAAAATATAATGAACATGCTTGTACTGGTCAGACTTTTTCGAAGGGGGCCAAATATTCTGTCATCTTCCTTCTGGTTATGTCACTGGAATTGAGCCTTTTAGACCTCTGGATTTTAGTTGCAACTTAGAACAATGTTTTAACACACAGAGATGAGTCGTGTTTGTAAGAAAATTAAAAATTTGTGTAAAAGCATTTCTCAACTATAACAGTGTATTTGTTCAAATCTAATCAAGTTGCCAGTCCTTGGACATGAGCTGAGAATGGGAATCTTTGGAGAAATAAAAATTGTGACAATCAAGTCGGGGCCTACATGTAGGCCTAGCTGATTTTTGGATTCACTTCATTCTGTCGTGCAATTTTTGTCTCATATCAAACATCAAACAGACTTGTGATTACAAGTCACACTCCCACTTCGCGTGTTTGGATTTTGTAATCATCCGTTTGATTTCCGACCAAATTGCACACCAGTCAGTGCAATTACGATCATTTATACGCCCTGTATACAGAAGAGTTTATTTACGAATGATAGAATTAAAAAGGTATAAATATGGGAGAAATGATAGAAAAACTTATATTTGGTTATCAAAGTCTGGTTATTTGCATATTACAAAGTCATAGGACGGTCATTATTTAGCTCGCCCACACAATGAGGATGCCCTTTTTTACCACCAAGTGACCATGAGAAAAACAAACACTGTACAAGCGAAGAGATTCTCGTTGTGGTCGTTGTGGTTGGGGTTCCAGTTCAGTTTTCCATAGGTATATTATTTTCGTTTCTATGGGCTTTATTTTAATGTAAAATTATAATTATGATATAAGTAGTCTAGTATATTTACGCTCGGTAGAAATCTAGTCACTTTCTTAAAAAGTCATTATAATTCTTTGCCAGAGCTGTTGTGCCCTTAATACTTAAATGCAGTCCCGATGCATTGAGGCAAGATGTATCAATGTTACCTTGGGGAATAAGGGACCAATTCTTAGCTTTACAAAACTTGGCCAAGAGTGAATTCACCTTCTCGATTCCTGCATTTAGCTTGTCATCATCTCTATATATTATTTCTGAGATCGCAATTTTTGATAAACCATTCACCATAACACATTTACTCAGGGCTTCCACTTCTTTCGCAATTTCCTCTGGTCCTTTGTGTTGAATATCATTACTTCCAACATGTAGTACGACAAGTTGAGTGTAGGCTTGGTTCATATCGATCAGCAGTGGTTTCACCTGGAAATTTTTAACATGTGGTTGCACCTAAGCATTTTTAACATAGAATCGCCTAGAATTGCTATAGATCTTGGATCCAAAGATCTAAGATCTATAGATCCAAAGATCCATCATACTTGGGAGTATGATGGATCTTTGATGTTTGTTTCTTTCTCGGCGTTTTCTTGCTAGAGGAATAAACATAAAACATTCAAAGCAAACTTGCCCTATATTTCACGACTTCCCATATATATTGAACCAATTCTTCTCATTTCTTCAAACAAAAATTGCTTCAAAGTTCATTCTGTGAAACGTGATTTTCTAAATAAAAATTAGGGCCTATATGCTTTTGAAAACTGAAATCTTTCTTATTTCATTCCTGGCAAACAACCGTATTATTGAGATCAGTGAGGTCCACCAATGAACCATGGTCGTGCGCCCGCAATAATTTGTGAACTTTAGACTTCGCTAATGCTTTCCCCGGGTGTAAATAGCTGAGCGGAATTAATACTCTCGCCTAGGGCTAACGCCCGGGAAGGCGCTGCGCGCCGTTGTGCCTACCATTAATTTAGGTTTAGGCTGGGATATTATCTTGAAATCGGACGAAAAAATGGCTTTGCGGGCATAAATTTGCAACAAACATTTAGTTTTAAAACAAATATATTACTTTAACTCCTGACAAATTGATAAATCGGGCTCCTCCTTACTATATCTGCCTTGTATTTATATTCCAATCCTACATTGAATCATATAAGACTGGATAAGCTCAACAGTATCGAATCTATGGAGGGTGATTACCGCCAAAATTAATGTTTGAATTTTGTATTCCAAGTTCTAGATTTTGTTGTTCGGTACATGCTTTGTGATATCAATGAATTGAATTTTGATATTATAGAATTGAATTTTGATGTTCGCAATTGCATTTGCACTTCTGTTTGCGCATTCTGTCCATTAACATTCCATTGTGATGACGTAACATTATGCGGGACCCTCAGAACACAATTTTCAACTCGTATCTAATGATAATTTATTTCCCACAAATAATTTTAATGTTACATGTAATGTGATCATACATATAAATTTACAGTAAACAAGACGCTTGCTAAGCGTTTACTCGTGCTAAAGAGGGGTTTTTGCTGGAGTTAGGAACTTTGTATTTGTAAATTATCGTATCCAGTGTATTCACAATTTCACATCAAGATTTACTTCAGACATTTCACATCTTACTCGTTATAAAGTGCATCATTTACGAGTTAATTCAGCGAGTTACTTGTGGCGTTTGCTAAACAAAAAAATCGTGTGTCCACGTATCTTGTGGCTTAAAAGAACGCGTTTGTTCCCAAAAATTACCTCGACCGCGCTTCGCCGGAGGCTGCTATTGTTAGCCTTATTGTACAGGGCGAAAATTCGCCGAAATTCATCGTGACTAGAGGTTGTGGCTTGTTGACTTGGGGAATGTTGAATTCAATTGGACGCACTGTATTGCCCATATTGCAGTTCCTTGCACAACATCCTTCACTTTCAGCAGAATATTGCGTTAAAATGCTTGCTGCACGGCGTAATAAAGTTGCTGCTTCTTGTGATTTTCAACGTAAACGGTTCTCGGCCATTTTATCCGTATGCTGAACAGCCGAAGTAACAATGTTGGAATAATTATAGATAATTAAAATTATGTGCGGGAAATAAATTATCATTAAATCGAGTTGAAAATTGTGTTCTGAGGGACACGCATAATGTTACGTCATCACAATGGAACGCTTAAGGACAAAATGCGCGAACAGAAGTGCAAATGCGATTGCGAACATCAAAATTCAATTCTTTAATATGAAAATTCAATTTATTGATATCATAAAGCAAGGAACGAACAACAAAATCTATAACTCTGAATGAAAAATTCAAACATTAATTTTGGCGGTAATCACCCTCCATACGAACAGGCTCATCTGACAATAACTTGGGCACTAGCTGGTTTTGTGGAGGAAGACTCGCGAGCGAGGGGATTAGGGCTGGAGAAAGGCGCACAGGCAAGAAAAAGGAGCACAATTCCTCCCCCAACAAAACCGGCTGTTATGCAGTCTAATAGCAGCAATATGACTCATGCCTAATTACAGAGCACAGCTACTGTGCAAGTGTCAGTTTTGACCTGATCCCAACCCACCCTGTTATAAACACCTCCTATTGGGGGAAACTAGAATTACCGAGAAAAATTACTCAGAGAAAGACTTGAATAATTTTCAACAATTGACAAGTTTTACCTGTGCAATGGGACGATCTGCTTCATGGTCAATGCTATACTGCTCTCATAATCTAAAAGAATGTCCGTTATCCCTGAAATTATTGCACTTTTCCTGCCTCAAAGCATCATTCACCTTTGAAATATTTGGATTGGTTCACAAAGGTATAAAGCTGGACATGCGGGCAGGTTGTAATATGTGCACCACAATAAAGGCAGAAATTGTGGCTAAACTTTTATTAATGGGTGGATCCCAATTAATGCAATGTAACACGAGGCAATTTTTGCCGCAACTAAAAACGCCATTCTGACATAGATCCACGTTAGGCCCTATATAAAAAATAGTCCGCGAAAATTCAGAACATGTCCTATGGTTTATTCTGCCGACATTTTAGTCATTACATTTCTTTCATTTTTCATCCCTTAAGAGTATGTAATGTTCATGCTCATGCATGCTTTGGGGAGGGCGCACAATAAAACAATTATTGACCTGTCAATAATAGAATAGATACAGTGCGCATGCGCATCAAACGTGAAGTTCCAAAGTATATATTTTTAAACTTTTTTATTAAACATTTGCATTTGGTTTCAAAGTTCACTCCAATAACCGGTGAACCATATATCCATGCTTTGACACTTGCCAGTCGACCGTCTCGGGTCCACAAGACGCATTAGACACCATAAGATTGACGTTTCTTTTACTTACGTCCAACCGCAAACTACGGTTTGCCACGTTAGCCGTTTCACGTTTGCCGTACTTGCAAATATGACATTAAGATTGACGTTTTTCTTGGCGTTCAACTTTTCCCCGCAGAAACTATATGATCCATCTGAATTGTGCCATCCTATCAAAAGAGAAACAAAAGTCACCACTAATTTGTTAAGATGAATTGAAATATGCAAGTATAAATGTAAGTAGGAAATATGCAAGTATGTTTAAACACGGGCCGTCAGCAAAGGTCATGAATGATTTTCAACTTGCTTTATCGTGAATGTTCAAATGTAAATGTAATTATTAAAATTATTCCAAACATGACTTAAAATCAACAGACATCAACTTAAGAAACCTATATACCAAGTCTAAGTACAAAATATTGAAACAATCGACATTTTCATGTTTGTTTAACGTTTAAATTAACCCAAGTAAATTAGACAGTCAATTGGGCACCAGGTTGTTTATATATCGAATTACATGGTTCTTTGAAAAATTTCCCGTTAAAAACAACTTTAATCCATCCAAATCAAAGATCATGAGTTTCGTTCTATGTTGGTGTAATGTACTCAGCTGAATATGATGCTCGTGATGTTACTCTGAATGTATATCCACACCGGGCAAGCTTGAGCTAGTATTCCCAAGGTCGTAGGTTCGATTCGCACCGTGGCCGGGCATATTTTTTCAAGCTTGCCGGTGTGGATACACACTCAGAGTAACATAACGAGCATCATGCAAAGTATATTTGTCTTAATATATGTCATATACATGAAATTAAGTAATAACAGTTGAATAAAATGCTGGGGTAAATCACCTACCGGTAGAATGCGATTTACGGCAAAAACGCAACGGCGAGCTCCTGGTCACGTGGTTTCTATTAATAGCGGTTATAGCGCGATTACAGGTTTACTAAGGTGTCTACTGTTTCCCTCGGTCTCAGTAAATAAATTATAATTATGTACGTGTCGGCAGAGAGGAATGCGGGCCATGCTCGCTTTTCACTTAGGGGTCGTTTACATGAGCCCTACCGGGAGGGCTGGCTCTAGCAGTAGGGCTAATTTTCACCGCTTGTTTACATGAGAAAAATCAGCCCTACTGGTAGGGACAGCTTACTTTCGCAAGTAGCACTTAAAAGGCTTCCGTGCGACTCATTATTTTTATTTTGGTATCCAAAATCATAGTTTCCCGACTTAATTTTGGAATAAAAGCCAACAGACATTTGAATATCCGTTTAGAACTACATCCTTAAAACAAAAAAAGCTTCAAAGAGTTTAGTCTAAAATCGATTCGACGGATTTTTCACTCAGCCCCACTAGGAGGGGCAGCCCTCTCTACCGCGTTTATATTAGAAAATTTCCGCCCTACTAAGCGAGATCTCGGATGAATAATAGTGAGATCTCGCCTAGGAGGGCTGGCCCTCTTCTCATGTAAACGTAAACAATTTTTAATAAGGATTTCAAATAGCACACGGGATCTCGCCTAGTAGGGCCAGCATCGCTGTAGGGCTCATGTAAACAGCCCCTTAGACTAATTTTTAGATAACATTGCTTTAAGCTCGAAATTGCGTTGTATTTTGGTGAAAACGTGGCTCTTTGAATTTTACTTGAAACTTTAGAGATCGCTTTTGAGAAAGTATTCCATGTCATGCCTAAAACGTAAAATAATATGAGCAGGGCGCAGAGTAATAAATAATCCGACTATCTTGGAGTATTTACCCGACCGTCTACAATTTTGACATTTGCATGCCGGACAAGGCTCTCGACCTCCAGCTAGCATGAATATTAACTGTTGAATTCACTTAGTTTAATTCATTATTATGTAATTGTATACGTATAGATAACATCACATTTTTTACCTCAGTTCAATGCTACAACTTGGACAAAGCATAGATCAGCAGTGCCAGTGCCGGTAGTGGCGAGGTCTTTGAAACACGCTATAATTATTATAGACCTTCGGAAAATCGTTCGCTCAAATCGAGAATGATGTTAACTACTGAGTGCACGTAGTTTTATAATTATATTTAATTGACTGCATTATTTATGTTATATATTTATATTAATGGTATCAGGCAATGTGCCTGATTCCTAAAGATTCTCGCAAAAAGTATCTAGCCTACATGCATGCATTAAGAATATCCCACAATTTTATTTCAAACTAGCTAATAAGGCAAATGTAAGGTATACGTTAAAGTTATGCGCTTTACGTCATACTAACGAAGAAGTTAAAATACCTTTAAAACGTAACTTATAAAATAACTAAGTGAATAAAATGAAAAAGACAGCATTTCCTTTTGTATGACTTAATACGTCTTTGTTGAATGAAGAGGAATACGCAGTCATTAAACAAAGCAACAGACTCACTGATGTGAAAAAGCCTGTCAAGGCTCTGCCGTAAGTCGAGGGTTTAAATCTCCAGCCGCTTCGGTTTCCTCTCACGGGATAGAACTTAACAAAAACAAAGAAAGAATAACTTATAAAGGACAGCGGAAGGACGCTTTCGTTTTTCGCTTTCTATTATCATTTTCTTCTTCGATATTAACGCTTCAACATCGACTATTAAAACGTGCACGAAGCTTGAGTCAGCCATCTTTGTTTTGACAGCGACAAATGTAGCGGGACAAAAAGCGATATCAGTGACGATATCGTTTTCATGTCACCCTGTTATCGCCCTGATAAAGGCACAAGTATGTGATGACTTAACTTACAGCTAGTTACCACAAAAAAATGGATCGAATACTGGATTTTCATATTTCATTAATGTCTGCTGAAGCTGATTACCCTCCTCCATATGATTTGGATTAGTACTCTTGGTAAGGGATTGCAGCGGCTGAAAAGTGTTCCCACGTTCTCGGTTGTCTTTCAAGGACATGAGGATCGAAGCCTGATCACGGCTTCTCTTTGAATGGCGTGGATGAACACTTACGCCAGAGAGCTTTGCCGACTGATAAACCCTCACAGGATCTTTGTTGCCATTCAACGACACGTATTCCGAAGGTTTTTGGGGTGTAGATATCTGCGATTTATCCGTAGTGTCAAACTCCGAGGGTTGCCGAATTGTACAAATCTCTTGTCTATCTCCAGTCTCAAACGCCGAAGGTTCCTGAATTGTGCTTGAATTCTCTAAACTGTCTCCATTTTCAAATATCGAAGGTTCTTGGACTGTATAAATCTCTATTATGTCTCCATTGTCAAGAGGTGGAAAAATCTCTGGTTTAGCTCCTGTTTCATTTCTTTTATTATATTCCAAAACCTCGGTCGGCATTTCATATACAGGTTCAGTGTTGTTAGTCAGTGTATTTTCTTTCATTGTTACTGTCTGGACTTTACGGGTTGCCTGTCTATTGATATTTTGGATAAGACGACGTTGGTATATGATCACACCAAGCGAGAGGAGAAAACATATGGACACAAGTGGTGGTATAAGGACACCAATGGGGATCTTTTCCTTCGATGATTGCTCAAGAGTTTTATTATCATCACGAACGCACTCCACTATAAAAGTGCAGAAATTTAGGGTTTGCATGACGACAAAATTATAATTGTTTTGTTTTCAAATAATTACACATGAAAATTTTAAAAGCATTTTGATTGGATATTAGGCACACGAGATAACCCTGGAAACGAGTTTGAGCAAAGAAAAATACATTTGGCGTTCTTCTTGACCGCTATGTCTATAGAATTGTACTTTTCAGGGACTTTTAGTGCATCATGAACAGAAAACACCATTTGAGTATTTAATAAGTCCTTTTAGGTGAATGACAGGGCAAAATGTTGACTTCGTTTTCCAACAACAAAACAAGACATTTTCAGCGTCTTAGGGGAGTTCGAAGCAGGCACTTGTATAGCATGTTCTCCCAGTACTCATTTTTGATAAAAGAACCACTCCAGTGAGCTATTTTATGGCCTCAAATATAGCACTTGCCTCTCGGACTCGCGCTATTCAATTAATAGTCCGATTGAAAAACTCACTAGCATGTTTTATGCAAATTGCACTCGAAATCGTGCTAGTGCCAATAAGAAGATAATGAACTGAAAGTTATGAATTGAATCAATTTAAATTATAAGAGCCATTTACCTGGAAATCTTACCATCGTAATAACACTGTTACTCCACCCTGTTGAGTAGTACGAGTCCTAGACGAAAATATACATTCATTGTATTTTACCGTTGGAACTAAGAAATACAAATTCGAATTCCAGAAAGCATCGAATTTAATTACCTTGCTTTCAAAAAACCTTAGGAACACGACATAATTTGAATTCTCTTGTAGAGGTTGGTTGAAGTATTTTTCTGTTTCAGAATGATACTCTTTGCCATCACCAATCACAAATGTCAAAGGAAGAAGATCAGGATTCAAATAGGCAGTAACATATGGATCCTTTATGTTGCATGTCCGATCTGGTTTGAGTGCGTCAGTTTGAATGTCTTCGCTTAGTTTTGAACTATTTCTGGCACGTTTAACGACGACCATTATTTCTCTTAATTAATAAGAACATTTGTCAAAATTACCGAAAATAAATTATATATACTGTATATAGCATTCAAACACTCATTCATAATGCATGAGGAAAACGAAAGGAAAAATCATAGGCGTGTCGTATCTTTATATGTGATAAAGATTTCCTTTGGTTTACATAAACTTTAACTTTGATTTTATCGACTTACAGTACAGAACATATTTTTGGAAAATTACTTCGCCAATGAACTTACCAGATTGATTGTTTTTGAAGCAATTTAAAACAAACTCAGTGCTATGCATCTCGTCGTCTATCAGTTCATATGCAAGTCGTAGTAGAGTGGTATGATTGTTAAATATTAAAGCGAATGCCCCAATACTTACTTAATATACGTCGCTTGTTTTGTTATGCTTACGCTTAGACTTGAATAAGACATCACGATAGGATTCACCGCCTCTAAAAATAAAAATGAAGTTATCTAAAACCCAGAAAGTAAACGCTAAAAGTTTGGATACATAATTTTTAAACTAATAATACTCATAAAAGACCAGTTGATCCTGATTATAGAAAAGCTAGAGTACTAATAATATAATGCAAAAAAAGTCCCATGGCGAAAATTTCAGTAAAGTGGGACGCCCCGGTTCATTGTAAGAAATAGACAATTTGTCTGATATTTTAACCCGATTAAGTTTTGAAGGGGTCGGAAATTTGGACTTTTCGGAAGTTCTGGGGGCTATGCTCCACCGCAGGAGAAGTGAATTCCCGCCATTCAACTCCAAAAAAGTAGGTGCCAAGCGCCTAAACAAGAAATATTTTCATTTTAGTTTTGACTTTTGACAGTTGGAAAGTTGTATAATTATTAAGATGTTTAGTCGTACATGTTGTCATTGAAACGAGCAAGTAACTTACTTTGGATGTGTTTAATAAGTTCAAATGACTATGAATTTGCTTCTGCCTATCTTTTAATTTGCATGAATATATTATTTGAAGGAATACCAGATGCATGGTTTTCCGTGCAGGGTTGCGCTATCCATGCACGAGGGATCAGTCGCGAGACATTCCGAAAGCGTAAAAATACTCGATCCGCAGGCGAGTGTATTTTTACGCTTTAGAAAAGTCGAGCAACATCATCGCTATCATACTTGGAAAACCATTTCGTAATTGTTTCAAAAAATAACTACAGTGAAACAATGACATTTTGATAAAAACCCGCGAAAATCCCGCGAAGCCATAAATTATTTTAATTCCTTGTGAAGGATAGCCTGATCCTGCACGGCTATTGATCAATAAAATTGCGTGTTCCACTGTAGTTATCATATAATATGAGTTGTTTCATTTTAAAGTTTTCTGTAACATCCGCGTTCTCTTTATACTATCAAAAAACTCATTAATAATTCATGAAGGAAATTCAAAAGAAATCACGGGCGTGAAGGAATCTGTATATGTGACACAGATTCATGTTCATTTACATAAACTTTAACTTTGATTTGCCCGGCTTAGGCCCGTTTTATACGTCGAATTTTGGTCGCGTTGTATACAATTAAGACAATAGATAATGAGATGATAAACCTCATTAAGCTTCATTATCTATTGTTTGAGTTAATTGCATTCGATGCAACCGAAATTCGACGTACAAAATAGGCCTTAGACAACGTTTATATTTAAAATTACTTCGCCAAGGAACTCATAAGATGAGTCGTTTTTAAGCCATTTACAACATTTGCGTCCGTGTTGTATCGGATATACAAACTCCCGCCTTCGGCTTGAGTTTGTATATCCGATACAACACGGCTGCTCATGTTGTAAATAGTACTAATTGCTTCAATAAAAATACCGGAACTGTATTTTACCTCCGTTTGTTATTTTACTGACTGCCAAGCTCTTGTTTCCATAACTAATTCTTGTCCGGGATGAGACAGTAACAAAATATTTTGTGGAAGGTTGAAGATTAGAGATTGTTTGTGACAGGATGCTAGTTCCTTGAAGCTCCAAGCATTCTTCAGCAGTGTCTCTGCTATAAAAGCAAACTTTATATCCTGTCAGTTCACCATTCCACAATCTTTCATCAGGAACGTTCCAGGACACGTCTAGTGTGTCTTTACCGCTGGATTTTAAAGTCACATTTAATGGAGGTCCGCTGGGGACTGAAATTAAACATACAATAAAATTATTTCCTGATGTGATGTTGCATGCATGCCTTCTATATACCGTACTACTATGTACAGTATAACAGCAAGAACAAATGAAATGTACCTATCACAGCAAAAAATCATTTTCTTATTAAGAAAAACTTAATTTAGAAAACATTTCTTGTTTTAAAAGATATTTTCTTACGGAATTTTCTGAAGAAAAGTTTCTCAGTATTCTCTCACGCCAAAATTTTCTGAAAAAAATGTTTTTTTTCTGTGTAGTATACGTAAATGGTGATACTATGCACCATGCCATGTACATATAATCACGATTACATATAGCTATATTTTACAAATTTTAGAAAATATTAAAAATGTTGTTAATTTAAACGTGGAAAATGTCAATAAAATTGCTGGCGCGTGGGTCCTATTTTGTCGCACAAAATTCCAGATCTTTTGATGCCTGAAGTATAGTATCTTTTGTACAAGTTTACCTGCTTCTTTGGTGTTGAAAGTTTTTGAAGTTCTCTTGCTTTTCACCAAATAATAATCTTGTGCCTCGATCCCAACTGTGTACATAGTGTACGGTTTAATTCCTTCAATTGTGAACTGGTTTCCATGTTCTTCTTGAGATAGTTTCTGCAGTAATTTGCCATTGAGATAGATCAAGAAGTGTGTGATATTAATGGCAGTATTATATCCTGCTGGCACAGCTTTCCACACGAGATGAGTAGAGAAATTTGATGGCTTTATAATAATGTTTTCTACCACTGGCGATTGGACTATAAATTAAACCATTGTAATCAATTCCACTATGCACTTTCAGACACAAAGATTTTTTCTTTAATTTAGATGGACCTGACCCGAAACAATCGAGCAGCCCATCAAAAAATGAACTAAAACATATTGTCAAGAAAAGCATTATTATTTCGTCAGTCTAATGATAGCTTCTAGATAAAGCGAATCAGTACAGCAAATCTAATCGTCGTCTTTTTTGGACTAAATATGTTAATTTAATATCATTTAAAGAAACCATGTAATAATCAACAAGAATAAAGCCTTACCCTCTCCACAGAGCTCTATCCTTACACAAAAATCTGTCTTCTTTGTTGATTCTATTTTGAAATATCTCACATCATAAATGTTGACGGTGGTTACAGATGCTTGGAAACCGTTCTGGTTACCTTTTATCTAAAAAAAATAAAGTATATTTAAAGGTGATCTACAGTCCGATCTGCGCATGTGCACAAATGAGCCCACTTTTTATGATACAAACAGTTTAGTTATGTTTTGAGTTCTTGAAAAGCCTGATTGTTGTTTCTTGATCATTTATTATACTCTAGAAGCTTGAAAATATAAATAGTTGTCGAATAAAGCTCAATATTTTGGATACAAAAATGTAAATAAAGGCATTGTTTACATACGGACTGTAGATCACCTTTAAAGGGATGTGGCAAGATAAATGAACTTTGTCTTATTTGAAAGAGTGTTTAAAGTTATATATAAAGACCTTTTACAACTTTTTCGTACCTTGCTTGGTTTTCGAAATATTTTGACCAAAAACATTGTGGAGTCCGCCATCTTGGTATTATAATTGACCTAATTAACTGAAATTTTGGTGACGTCACAAGCCCGGTAAACTTGTTAAAACTTCTTCATGTGGGACTAAATTTCTTCGAACAGTTTCTTAAAATGTTGCGAGTTAATTGAGGACTAACAAAGAATTCGGAAAATCGAGTTTTATATTGATAATGACAAGTGGTTTCACTGGTTTTGCAAGATAGAAATTTCGTCCTTTACCCTACTTGTGACGTGTTGCATATCGAATGCATATCCAATTAGATAGCCGAATACACACTGCTTTTGATTAAAATAAGTCGATTTATTTCGAAAACCAGGCAAGATACGGAATAATTCTAACAGAAGTTTTTTATATCATTTTAAATGTTCTTTCAAATACGCCTACAAACTTAATTTATATTGCCATATCCCTTTAACAGAAAAAATGTATTAAATGGACATGGTATTTCTCAAATCTAGTTTTCAAATGCATTATTAGTGTACATAACACCAACACACACACAATGTATCATATCTCAGTTCCGAAATATCACCAACTCGAACCGAGTTGACCTCGTATAGCTCAGTTGGTAGAGCACTGGACTAGTAATCCAAAGGTTGCAGGTTCGACTCCCACCGTGGTCAGGCAAGAATTTCAGCTTGCCCGGTGTGGATGCACACTCAGAGAAAAGGCTCTTTTCCACTCATCGCAAAAACAGCTCGCAGCGAGTATCAGCGAGAAACTTGCAGAATATTTTGAACAAAGAAGACAATGGAATTCGTTCAAAAATATCACGTGACTAAGGTGAACAGAAAGTGCAAAATGGCGGCGAATGAGGAAGGAAACATGTTTATAGAAGCGAGAGGAAACGTGTTTATAGGAGGAGAATGATGTAAGCGTTTCGTGCGTTTGGTCCGACAATTAGGTCTTCCTTCTTTTTTCATTCCCATCACCAGTTCATAGAACTCCCCGAGTTGTTTTCTCTTACAGAATATCGGGAGAATCCAAAAACGTTTCACATACTTGAGACTTCTTCTCATACGTCGCCTTAAATAAAGTAAGCAGACGTCGTTTAGCAAAGACGTAAATTAGTCACGCGAGATGTTGAAGGATGGAAATTGACCTGCGACCTTACGAGGACTCGCAAGCTCGCTGCGAGCTGTTTCCGCGATGAGTGGAAAAAAACCTTTCGCGATGAGTGGTAAAAACCACAAACATCATGATCTTCATATCAAGAAAATCAAAATCGTATTGTCGTACAAGTGTTAAACCATTAACTTTCGGGGTGACTCTGGCTAGCCTGACGTTGAGCCCGCGTCCAAAGTAGCCAGAGCGGCGCCTACGCCCCCTCCAGACAAAATGGCTGACCCCCCCCCCACCCCTCTACCGCCTCTAAAGCCGAACTGACCTATCTTCTAAACGTTTTGATTGGTTTTGCGATAAAGTACAGTTGTTGTATGTTAAATATTTATTCAAAATCACACTATTAAAACTCAATAAAAAATTGGTGGTCCCAAAATGATGTTGAAATAGCTCTCTACGCACGGCCACTAGATTTATAGCTCTCTACGCACTAGCCACTAGATGGGGGCGTATCCCAAACACCTCCAAATACACCTTCAGATAATTACACACTATATTCGAAGTGTCGCTGGGTAAATTTGCTTCGGGCATTCCTTGATGTTTTCGCAGCCGCCCACTCTCCCCCACCCCCCTTAGCTAGAAATCTAGACTACGTCACCGGGTTTGGACTTTGGTGCATGACCACGGATTTTTATTACATTACTATTATTCAATATGAACGGTGTCGTAATTTTTCCCGCGACTTTTCCAATATTCTGGAAAGAGCAGTAATTAAATGTAAAAATTCGGACACATTGAAGTTTAAATTTTCATGTGTTGCACGTGCACTCTTACTGTGAAGATGATTTGTCAATTGGATCATTTGAAATGTTATTTATCGCAATGGATATAATGTATCGTTTCTGCCAATTGCAATTCTATTAAATCCATTTGCCGTATATAAAATTATAAAGCTTTAGATCAGCGATAAATTGACTTAATAAAATTTCAGTTTGCTGAAAATATACTCTGCTGATATATTCCAATTCATTGCTGCTACATATATCATTTGAAATAATCCAATGAGAATTGTCTTTGACTGCAAGTGTAGCTCGTGGCAATTCATAGTTACATGTGTACTTGCGAATTTCAACTATCTAGCCCATCTAGTTTCTGCCTATCAAGTGCTGCCGACCTTATGCGAATTACCAAAACTCCATATTGAATTGAGTTAATTTATTCCAAAATTAGGAACAATAGAACCCGAAATTTCTTGTAAATGTGCTAGTTGACTGGTCCTAAAATTTTTGCTAGAAATTGCACGAGCATGTATCCTGTAACGTAAATATAAATATAAGATATCATATGAGGGGCGTAACGATATCAGTTTTATCGTTTGAGGGACGTTATCATAAATGACACAAGTGAGCATATAGCAAACGAGGAACTTTATATACGAGGTAGTTCTGGAAGGGTTAAAAGTGACATCGCCATGCATCGGCTTGTTCTGATTAAGATAACTAGATTATAATAATTAGAATTTTATTACAATATTAACTAAGTACCTAAAATGTACTAAATGCTAATTGAAAACTTGAAAACTAGAAAATTAGCAGATATGGCAGATAAAAATTCACAAAGAAGGTTTAGATATTCTGACCCTCCTTTGTTACATATATCAACAAAGCAGGGTCAGAATTTCTAAACCTTGTATGACAGTAATAATTCCGCAATATCTCACTCAGAATGCAAAGCCATAGCATAAAAGGTTCAGAATTTCGAAACACCTCAATGAACAAGTCTATCGAAATAGTCAAATATGCAAACGTTTTAAACGTTTGCACATTTCGCTATTTCGATGTGCATATTTCACTATTTCGATACACTTGTTCAATGGGGTGTCAGAAATTATGTACCTTTCATGTTTGTAGCTTTGCATTTTGAGACAGTGCGATATTGCGGAATTACTGTTATAAAAGGTTCAGAAATTCTGACCCTCTTTTGTTCATATCTGTACCAAAGGAAGGTTAGAATTTCCAAACCTTCTTTGTGAATTTTTATCTGCCATATCAGCTAATTTTTTAGTTTTCATTTAGAGATGCAGGGTTCAGAAATTCTGAACCTTCTTAAAATGCATGGCTTGCACTATTTATCCATTTTAGGTTGCTTGAATTCTTCGTTATAATAGGGTTTTTGGGAAAATACTTTCGCTTTGTAAACATTACGCATATTGATATTATTAAATCAATTACGTGTGGTTTATATGTACTTTTTCTGGTCATGTTGTTGTTTTCGGCGGCAGAAAAATCAGTGGACACAAAATCAACCAATTTATGTTATATATGCATCCAGAAAATCAGCCAGTCTGGAGGGGAACCAATTTTAGGAATATTATTTGTACTTTGGTTTCAAACCTTTTCCGCACATATCATGTTTTCTAATCGAAAATGTGACGAGTTTGACTTCTTTCAGCATTCTCTAGTAAAAACTCGTGATTTTTCGGAAAAAAATTAAAATTTCCGCAAAATACAGAAAAAATCTTTAAAATTGTTCACTTTGGAAATGCCCAATTTTCTTTGGACATTTCCAAATTTTGGACGAGTTTTATGTTTAATAGTGAATATTACTTTCATAGACATAAAACATTATAAACATGCAACTATTCAATGAAACCCACATGCTTAACCCTATTTGTACCGGGGGTTTTTCATGTTGATATGACCGGGGGTGCGCTGATAGGGCGCACCCCTCAGAAATTCTGTCGATTAACTGCTATTATCCTATAAGTTTTATTTTTACTAAGTTTTATCTTTCTTTAACCTAAAAATAACAAAAAAGTTAAATTCACATCCAAAATGCTGTTTTTTGGCCCCATTTAATATGACCGCTTATCCAAAAATGGCGAATATAGCTAATATTTTACCCATTTTGGTTATATTTTGTAAAGAGATTACAAAACATTTTGGATGTGATATTTGTTGGGTCTTTTACATTCAAAAGACATACTTTTATGTTATAGCATATCTCAGTTGTCCATAAACACCACTATTTTACTTTCCAAGTTGGCATTTCTGTGCCATATAAATTATTATTATTATTATAAATTTCCAAACTAGCAGTAACAACTGAATTACTTTGGAATTACAGGGTATAAGAACATAGGTATTTAATCTATTCTATATTTACAGGTAAAAATAGGTAAGTTAGATAAAAATAACGATAATAATCTAAAGTTTACTTATTATTATAAGCACGAGACGCAGCAGGAATAAAACTGTTCGAAAAACGTTCAGTTCTACACCTAGGTACTAATAAGTTGGGATAAGACCTCAGATTATAAGTTTGAAGACTTTTAGGCGGTACTAAGGCATTCAGTTTATGAGTCGGTTCCAACATCTTCGAGAAAAGTCGCTTGCAATGGACAGTTCTACGTTCGTAAAGAGTCATCAAGTTAGCTTTAAGCAAACATTCAGCATAGATAGTTCCAGGGAAAATAATTTTTAATGCCCTTTTTTGTATTTTTTCAACTTGGTCACTCAGGTAATGAGGAAGGCCATAATGCCACACCTGACAAGCATATTCGACAATTGGTCGAATATGTGTACAATAGGTTGAGATCAGAATATGAGAAGGTAAAGCATTTCTTTTAAGAAGGCGCAGACCGTACAAACGCTTCGCGGCTTTCTTGCAAATGTAGTCAATATGGCAGTTCCATCTGAGGTCGTCCGAAAGGACAACGCCCAATAGTTTGGCCTCGGAAACGACGTCGACCTCTTGACCGCGAATGTTAATAGGGGCAAACGATGGAGTAAGCTTAGAAAAGCAGACACGCAATTCTTTGGTCTTTGATACGTTTAACTTCATATTATTGTCTGATGACCATTCAGAGCAGCTGATGATGTTAGCGGGTAACTGGGAAGGGGAATTGTTTGATATTATTTCCCAAAGGCTGGTATCATCGACAAATTTAACAGTTTCATCCACTACAGCCAAGTCATTTATCATGATCAAAAATAATAGCGAGCCAAGCTTCGTTCCTTGTGGGACGCCGGCGTTTAAAAACTTCCACTCAGAAAAGAACTGACCAACACGGGTTCTTTGTTGTCTGCCTGTTAGGAAGTTTGCGATCCAGTTGAGTAACACGGGATGAATTTCCATGTCTTTCAATTTTTCCAACAGAATGTTATGATCTAATCTATCAAACGCCCGTGGCAAAATCAAGTAAACAAATCCGTATAGTGTTGCCTTGTTTGTCAGCTGCTTCAAACCATTTATGTAGCATGTAGATTAATGCCATACTAGTGCTTGAACCCTTCAGCGAACCAAATTGCAAGGAATCAATTTTTTTTGAGACAGAGTCAAGTAGCCATTTGTAGGGAAAGGATTCAAGAATCTTGCTGATAATTGGTGTGAGGGAGATTGGTCTGAAGTCAGAATCAACATCTTTAGGAGGCGAAGATTTTTGAACTGGGGTAATATTTGCTGCCTTCCATATTGAGGGAACAAATCCTTCACGAACTGATGAATTAAAAATAGAACACAAAGGTCGACACAACACTGAAGCGTTTTCCCGGAGAAGCCAAGAAGGAATTTCATCGGGACCAGCAGATGAATGAAGTTTAGATGATAATAGGGCCTTTTCAGTCTCCTCGACAGAGATGCAGAAATCATCTGGAATGTCATTTGTGGGAAGGGGGAGCCAGTTTAGATTGGGTAAGGAGGACCCTACAGCAACGAACTTGTCGTTGAGCAAATTTGCTAAATCGGCATCAGAGTAGGATTTACCTTGGAACATCATTGTAGATACATTCTTAGAAGACTGAAGACCGGCAATATTCTTCACCGCTGACCACCATTTACGAGAATCGGACTGTTGAACGCCCGCGATACTTTTATTGTAGTAATTTAGTCGTGCTTTTTTGCAAAGTGCATTGACTTTGTTTCGATAGAATCTGAACATCAGGTTATTGCCAGCCGCCCATGCTGTTTGCCGCTTGGAAATAAGAGATTTTATTTCGGAAGTAATCCAAGGCTTGTCACTAGAATCAATTTTGATTTGTTTCCAAGGCAAATGTTTGTTTATGATATTATCAACGATGGTGGAAAAATACTGGAACTGCTCGTCACAAGATTCCATATGGTGCAAAGGTAACCAATTAACTTTCGACAGATGATCGCTAACAATTCGACGATTGGTTGGGCGAGAGTCTCGTACTAAACGTGTAGACCTTGTGCCACCATAAGAGTTAGCTGGAAGAGGTTTAAGAACGATGGAATTATGATCGGAATGTCCAATTGGAGAAATTACCGAGAATAATGATCTACATTAAGTTGGTAAGATTTCAATAAGATTTCCTTACTTTTATCATAGTTACAGGCATCCAATCCCGAAATTTCCAGAAATATAGATTTAGCTTTTTCGCTAAACGTGGTGCCAAACTTCCAAATCATTCTGACCGTGGGATTTGCTGTGTTTTAACCGTCATTTCAAAAATCCGAAAATAATCATCGATATCTTCAGTCTCCCTCATTTCTCGCACTTTAACAAATTTTCCCGAGCATCCGGAAACTGATGGAGTTTTAACTCTTTCTTTCTCTAGTTCTACCTCAAACGCCCTATCCTCAAATCTAGCTCGTTGTCTACGCTCCTCTCTTCTGATTTCTCTCTCCTCCCTCTCACGTTCTAAGTCCCGCTCAAAGCGTAAGAGCTCCATCCTCTCCCGAAAACTTAAAGTATCCCAGGGAATTTCGCCCCCATTTTTCATCGGCAAATCACTGGTCAATTTCAATTTACCCAGGCTATCTGAAAGATTTTGCATATGTTCATCATTCTCAAACTCTCCAGGTTGGGTATCGTGAGCTAATGCCTGTGCCTCATCCGTTTTCCCAACAACAAAATTTATATCATATGTACGTAATCTGGCAGCCAATGTCTTAACACCGTCTTTTCAATTTATTGTTAATTCTCTTCTAGTACATTCCTCCCGTAGCGCATCTAATTGCCAGTCATTATAGTCGGTCATCCTGACACTACAATTTACTAATAACACTTCGCAGCCTTGATTATCCCACCGCTGCCACCAATTGTGACGATTTCTATCGCCGACGTGGGCGCTGCAGTTCACAATAACACAAGTCAATAAAACCCACTGTACTACAATTAACATAAAGGTTTTAATTCTGAAATTACTAAGAGTTATCTAATTTCCTAAAGTATTTTTTTTTAACAAACCCGAGTCCAACAGAGTGTAGCTACGTCTTCTTTCTTCAGCTAGCCCACAGCGCTTAACTTTCCGCGTAGTATCAAACATATAACAGCGTCGTATCTTGTTTGTTGAGAATTTCAACGGATATATCTTATGAACAAAAGCGAGACGAAACTTGCTAACAATCTGAATATTCTTAAATCGCTTCGAGATTGTTTCCTGTCGATCTCAAACGAACTTGAGCGTATATAGTCAGCGAACTTCAGTATACTTCCAACAAAAGCAAGATGTCCTTCCAAGTTGTTCTTTTCCTGAAGGTCTTCATCGGGTTTTTTTAATGTTTAGGAACTCCTTCCTTGCTTGTCCTGTTTTTCCTCTGCTCGCTTCAAACTCTGGGCTCCTTATATAATCCATTAATTTACATATTCATAAAATATAATTATAATTATAATACAGCTATTCTTTTATCACAAGGACAAGGTTTCTCGCTCTGAGGACAAGGTTCCTCACCCTGAGGACAAGGTTCCTCACACTAAGGAAAAGCTTCCTCACTCTGAGAACAAGGTTCCTCACTCTGAGGACAAGGTTTCTCACACTGAGGACAAGGTTCCTCACTCTGAAGTCAGGTTCCTCACTCTGAGGAGAACGTTCCTCACTCTGAGGACAAGGTTCTTTACACTGAGGACAAGGTTCCGCATTCTGAGAAGAAGGTTCCCGACTCTGAGGACAAGGTTCCTCACTCTGAGGACAAGATTCCTTACTCTGAGGAAAAGGTTCCTCACACTGAGGACAAGGCTCCTCACTCTGAGGACAAGGCTCCTCACTCTGAGGACCAGGTTCCCCACAATGAGGACAACGTTTGTCACCCTGAGGACAAGTTTCTCACTCTGAGGACAAGGTTCTTCACACTGAGGACAAGGTTCCTCACTCTGAGGACAAGATTCCTCACTCTGAGGAAATGGTCCCTCACACTGATGAGAAGGCTCCTCACTCTGGGGACAAGGTTCCTCACTCTGAGGACAAGGTTCTTGAGTCTGAGGACAAGGTTCCTCACTCTGAGGACAAGGCTCCAAATTCTGAAGGCAGGTTCCTCACACTGAGGACAAGTTTCCTCGTTCTGAGGACATACAAGGTTCCTCACTCTGAGGACAAGGTTCCTCACTCTGAGGACACGGTTCCTCACTCTGAGGACAATGTTCCTCACTCTGAAGTCAGGTTCCTCACTCTGAAGTCAGGTTCCACACCTTGAAGACAAGGTTCCTCATCCTGAGGACAAGGTTCCGCACTCTGAGAAGAAGGTTCCTGACTCTGAGGACAAGGTTCCTCACTCTGAGGACAATGTTCCTCACTCTGAGGAACAGGTTCCTCACACTGAGGACAATGCTCCTCACTCTGAGGACAAGGCTCCTCACTCTGAGGACAAGGTTCCTCACTCTGGGGACAGGGTTCTTGACGCTGAGGACAAGGTTCCTCACTCTGAGGACAAGGTTCCGCACTCTGAAGGCAGGTTCCTCACACTGAGGACATGTTTCCTCGTTCTGAGGACAAGGTTCCTCACTCATAGGACAAGGTTCTCCACACTGAGGACAAAGTTCCGCACTCTGAGAAGAAGGTTCCTGACTCTGAGGACAAGGTTCCTCACTCTGAGGAAAAGGTTCCTCACACTGAGGACAAGGTTCATCACTCTGAAGACAAGGTTCTTGACTCTGAGGACAAGTTTCCTCACTCTGAGGACAAGGTTCCGCACTCTGAAGCAAGGTTCCTCACACTGAGTACAAGCTTCCTCGTTCTGAGGACAAGGTTCCTCACTCTGAGGACAAGGTTCCTCACACTGAGGACGTGTTTCCTCACTCTGAGAACAAGTCTCCTCACTCTGAGGACAAGGTTCATAACACTGAAGACAAGGTTCCTCACCCTGAGAACAAGGTTCCTCACTCTGAGGAAAAGGTTGCTCACTCTGAGGACAAGGTTCTTCACACTGAGGACAAGGTTCTTTATACTGAGGACAAGGTTCCTCACTCTGCGAAAAAGGTTCCTCACTCTGAGGACAAAGTTCCTCACACTGAGGACAAGGTTCCTCACTCTGAGGACAAGGGTCCTCACTCTGAGGACAAGGTTCCTCACTCTAAGGATAAGGTTCCTCACTCTGAGGACAAGGTTCCTCATTCTGAAGACAGGTTCCTCACTCTGACGACAAAGTTCATCTCTCTGATGACAAGGTTTCTCGCTCTCAGGACAAGGTTCCTCACTTAAAGGACAAGGTTCCTCACTCCGAGGAGAAGGTTCCTCACTCTGATGACAAGGTTCCTCGCTCTCAGGACAAGGTTCCTCACTTAAAGGACAAGGTTCATCACTCCGAGAACAAGGTTCCTCACTCTGGAAACAAGGCTCCTCACACTAAGGACTAGGTTCCTCACTCTAAAAACAATGTTCCTCACTCTGAGGACAAGGGTCCTCACTCTGAGGACAAGGGTCGTCACTCTGAAGACAAGGTTTTCACTATAAGTCAAGGTTTCTCACTCTGAGGAAAAGGTTCCTCACTCTGAAGACAATGTTCCTCACTCTGAAGTGTGCTTCTTCACTCTGAAGACAAGGTTCCTCACTCTGAGGACAAGGTTCTTCACACTGAGAACAAGGGTCCGCGCTCTGACAATAAGGTTCCTCACTCTGAGGACAAGTTTTCTCACACCGAGGACAAGGGTCGTCGCTCTGAAGACAAGGTTTTCTTTATAAGTCAAGGTTTCTCACTCTGAGGACAAGGTTCCTCACTCTGAGGGCAATGTTCCTCACTCTGAAGTCAGGTTGCTCACTCTGAAGACAAGGTTCCTCACTCTGTGGACAAGGTTCTTCACACTGAGGACAAGGGTCCTCACTCTGAGGACAAGGTTCCTCACTCTGAGGAAAAGGTTCCTCAGACTGAGGACAAGGCTCCTAACTCTGAGGGCAAGGCTCCTCACTCTGAGGATAAGGTTCCTCACTGTGAGGACAAGGTTCCTCAATCTGAGGAAAAGGTTCCTCACTCTGAGGAAATGGCTCCTCACACTGAGGAAAAGGCTCCTCACTCTGAGGACTAGGTTGCTCACTCTCAGGACAAGGTTCTTGACTCTGACGACAAGGTTCCGCACTCTGAAGGCAGGTTCCTCACTCTGAGGACAAGGTTCCTCACTGTGAGGAAATGGTTCCTCACACTGAGGAGAAGGCCCCTCACTCTGAGGACAAGGTTCCTCACCCTGAGGACAAGTTTCTCACTCTGAGGACAAGGTTCTTCACACTGAGGACAAGGTTCCTCACTCTGAGGACAAGGTTCCTCACTCTGAGGAAATAGTTCCTCACACTGATGAGAAGGCTCCTCACTCTGAGGACAAGGTTCCTCACTCTGAGGACAAGGTTCTTGGGTCTGAGGAGAACGTTCCTCACTCTGAGGACAAGGTTCCAAATTCTGAAGGCAGGTTCCTCACACTGAGGACAAGGCTCCTCACTCTGAGAACAATGTTCCTCACTCTGAGGACAAGGTTCCTCACACTGAGGACAAGGTTCCTCACTCTGAGGACAAGGTTCCTCACTCTGAGAACAAGGGTCTTCACACTGAGGACAAGGTTCTTCACACTGAGGACAAGGTTCCTCACTCTGAAGACAGGTTCCTCACTCTGAAGACAAGGTTCATCACTCTGAGGA